CACCCACAGTCACTGCTGCAGACATCAAATCAGTCTTCTTCAGAGTGAACCCACGGAAAGCACCTGGCCCAGATGGAGTCCCCAGCCTTGCACTAAAATCCTGTGTGGATCAGCTGGTGGGAGTATTTGGAGACATTTTTAACCTCTCCCTACAATGATGTGAGGTTCCCACCTGCTTCAAGAAGATCACTATCATCCGGGTGCCAAAGGAAAAAAACAGGCAACATGCCTTAATGACTACCACCCAGTGCCTCTGACATACATCATGAAGTGCTTCAAGAGGGAGTACAACCACAGTGGGAAGCGTCTTTGATTATGAGGGTTGACAACAAGGTGCAGGGCTGGATGAACACAGCAGGCCAAGCAGCATCATAGGAGCAGAGAGGCTGACGTTTCGGGCCTAGACCCTTCATCAGAAAAGGGGGAGGGTAAGGGGGTTCTGAAATAAATAGGGAGAGAGTAGGAGGCGGATAGAAGATGGATAGAGGAGAGGATAGGTGGAGAGGAAACAAACAGGTCGAAGAGGCGGGGATGGAGCCAGTAAAGGTGAGTGTAGGTAGGGAGTTAGGAAGGGGATAGGTCAGTCCAGGGAGGACGGACAGGTCAAGGGGGCGGGATGAGGTTGGTCGGTAGGAGATGGAGGTGCGGCTTGAGGTGGGAGGAGGGGATAGGTGGGAGGAAGAACAGGTTAGGGAGGCAGGGACGAGCTGGACCGGTTTTGGGATGCGGTAGGGGGAGGGGAGATTTTGAAACTTGTGAAATCCACATTGATACCATTGGGCTGCAGGGTTCCCAAGCGGAATATGAGTTGCTGTTCCTGCAACCTTCGGGTGGCATCGTTGTGGCACTGCAGGAGGCCCAGGATGGACATGTCGTCTGAGGAATGGGAGGGGGAGTTGAAATGGTTCTTACGTTGGCTTTACCAAGACAGTGGGAAGTGTAGATGGAGTCAATGGATAGAGGGTAGTTTGTGTGATGGACTAGGCTGTGGTCTTGCAGGCTTGGGCAGAACAGTTGCCATACCAAGCTGTGATGCATCTGGATAGATGTGGTGCTGTAATGGTCATGTCATTGGACTACTAATTTTGAGGTACAATGTAATATCCTGTGGGCACTGGATCAAATCCAACCATGGCAGCTGGTGGAATATAAATTCAATTAATAAAGTCTGAAATTGAATGCTCGTCTCAGTAATGGTGACCATGAAACAATCACTGATTAATGTAAGAAACAAACTGCTTCTCTAATGCCCTTTAGGGAAGGAAATCTGCCATCCTTAAACACCTCAGATCCACAGCAATCTGGTTTACTTTTAACTGTCCCCTGAAATGGACTACCAAGCCACTCATTTCAAAGGGAATTATTGATGGACAACTAATGCTGGCAATTCCAGTAATGCTGATATCCAATGAAGATGCAAAAAGGGACGAATATAAAAGTCACTCAGTCTTGCCCAGAAGTAGACACTGACAACTTTTTAAAAAAAATCTATTTTTAAAATGTGCAGTAAAGTAGCTGATTCCATTTTAATTAGTGACCTTACAGGGAAAATAAAACATCCATAACTGATCTATATTCTGATTGGAGTTTCTGAAGGATGTAATCCATTACTGTTTTTGAATGGTGAAATTCAATAATCAATGTCTAAATGACAAGCAGAATGGAAACTCAGTATAAGAATGTGAAGTTAGAGGCATCCCCAGAAACCTTTTCAATATTGAATAGTTCAGCAGGTGGAAAAATGACTTGCAGAAAAGTGTTAAGTATTGTGTACACTAGTGAAGAGCAGCAAGTAACAAAGAGGCTGAATAGGCTGTGGCTATTTTCCCCAGAGTGTCAGAGGTTGAGGGGTGACCTTATAGAGGTTTATAAAATCACAAGGGGGATGGATAGGGTGAATAGCCAAGGTCTTTTCCCCAGGGTAGGGGAGTCTAAAACTAGAGGTCATAGGTTTAAGTTAAGAGGGGAAAGATATAAAAGGGACCTAAGGGGCAACGTTTTCACACAGAGGGTAGCATGTGTATAGAATGAGCTGCCAGAAGTGGTGGAGGCTGGATGGGTATATGAATAAGAAGGGTCTGTTTCCCTGCTGTACAACTCTATCAATAGAATGTTGAAATACATGTCTCTCAGAATATATGCCTCTGCCATGCTATATTAACTCAGCATTATTACAATTAAACAGCTCTTCCTTGAGGCTTTACCCTGACTGTTTGATTATCCATTATCACAAAGCTGAAAGAATAAGTATTTCGTCAGGGCTTATATTTCACTGAGGCTGAGGCTATATACAATGATCTGCTGTGAAAGCTTTTGATAGTTATGATAAATTGTACCACAGCTGCTGAGCCAACCCATAACATTCTTAAAAAAAAATCAATTTACTCTCTCCCACAGTGTTTACAGATCCTTAAAAGATTCCAAAATTCAAATCCAGAATCAAAAACTATTAATCCTTCCATGTACTTGTGTACTAGGTTTTATTGAAATCTGTCCATCAGTTTTGAGATGTATTTACAAACAGAAGAAAAATCATTATCTCCTCTATCTTCAGGGATAATACTCAAATCATAAGTATTAAACTTAAATTACTCGTGGTTTCCTTTGGTCTCAGTCAATGCTAGTTGCCTGTGTCAGTTGAGGAGGGTAGGCTTTTGGGTGTACTACCCTTTAATTGTTCCATTACTACTTGGTACAGAAAACTTGTTTCCTGCAAAAGTGCTTCGCTTGTTCTCAGATGACTTCCAATGAGCCTCTCAGCTCCATCCTTGATTCCTTCCTATTCATCCTCTGGATGCAACCTGGTATCTTTTTTTAAAGATTCCAAAACTGAATGATCTAAAAATTGATTTGATACCTTGATCACTTTTCTGTAAGGTTAAATTCACCTGTATTAGCCCCAAGTTTATATTTTACTGGCCTGTACCTTTGTCCCTTTGACCTTTATCTAATTTGACATAATCGTTTGGTTTCACCTTCTTCATTCATTTAGCTATCATACACGTTTGAGAACATCTTTTACATGCTCCTTCTTGGGGTTGAAATGTCCAAGTATGCTATACAATTTGATAACAGCATCCTTTAACCTTGTTAAACACTGTTGGAACAATGTCTAAATTTAGACACAGCAACTACTCTATTGGAGCAGAATATATTCTACACAGTCAAATTGGAAGTGGACATCGCATTTTTGGTTGATAACATTTCTGCCTATTATTGGTGTTGATGGTAGTGGTGTAGGTATTCCAATAGTGTTGAGAAAGGGATTTTCAGATTTTTAACCTAATGACAATAAAGGAATGATGATACCTTTCCAAGTCAGGATACTCTATGAGTGAAGGTGAACTGGCAGATGGCAGAGTTCCAAAGCACTTGCTCCTATCCTTCTAGGGGCCATGTGTTTAGAAGGTTCTGTCAGAGGAAGCTTGCTGACTTGCTGCAGTGCATTTTGTAGATGTTAGATGCTGCAGCCCCAGTGGAAGGGGTAGGTGACAGGGCGTCAATCAAGTGGCTTGCTTTGTCTGGGATGGTGCTGAGCATTTTTGGTGTTGTTGGAACTGCACAGACAAGTGGAGAGTATTGAATCATATTCTGACTAGTGCCTTGTAGATGGACTGGCTTTGGAAAGTCAAGAGGTTAATCATTCAACATGGAATTCCCAACCTATGTCTTGCACTTGTAGCCACCAGTCCTTATATGACAGGGTAAGTTTCACATCAATGGTGATCCCAGGATAGTAATGATGGAGGCATGTAGCAATAGGCATGTCACTGAATGTCATGGGGAAATGTGGACTCTCGAATTGGAGATGCTCACTGCCCAACACTTGCATGGCATAGATATTATTTGTCACTTAGCAGTTCAGTGGTCTTCTTCAATATCTGAGGAGGTGTTAATGGAAAGGAACACTGCAATCAGTGAATATTTTCACATTTGACCTCATTGAATGCAAGGTTAATGAAGAAATAACTGAAGACGTTTGGCCTAGGACTTTTACTCCAAGTGAAACGCATGTATATAGCACAATTGGGCAAGCAGAAGCAGCAATCTCTAAGGGTTATCTCAGCTGATTTGGAGAGTGATCAGTATCAATAAGCACCACACTGTATTGACGCAACTGGCCATTACCTGAATTGCACAATAAAAGAACTACACTGTAGGATAGCCACTGAGGCATCTGTTCCTTGGTGGAGATAGGACTCAATTGATCTTACATTCCTCTTTTTAAAGAGCTGAGATCTGGAGAATTGAGTAATGGCAGCCAGTTCAGAACAACACCCACAATGGTCTGACTGAAGAGAATTTACATAATTCATTATAAAAAACTGAATTTGTATGTCAAAGGGTATAACTGTGTTAAAACATCTGAAATCCATAACACTGTCATTACCTAACACACGTTACTCAGCATACTGAATCTTTTAAATGAGTAAACAGATTTAATATATAATTCATATAGATTTCAGGAGAAAATGCCATCCAAGCAATCCCTGTCATGCAAAACAATTATAATGTGTAATAATTGTGAATAATTTAAAACACTTAAATATTAACAAGAATGAATTAACTTAGACATTTTCTTCTGGCTCACCTCTTCTTTTCAGGCACAGCTGCTTCTGTTCCATTCACCATCTGCAATGAAGAACAGCACTGCATTTGTACCTCATGGACTGCAGTGGTTCAAGGTTCCTCACCAACCACCACTTAAGGGCAGTTAAGGATGGACAATAAATGCTGGTTATCCGAAGACACATCTCATGAGAGAAAAAAATAACAGCAGCCTTGTTTAGGACTTGCTGGCTGGTAAACTGCTACGAAGAGGCTGAGGAGCTTACTAGCTGGAGGGGAAATGGAAGGAGAGAAAAGGAAGTCACCCATCGATTACTCCATTTATTCTGTGAGGGTACGCTCATTAGACGACAGCATTTCACCATGTGAGGATATGCTAGGCACAAATTTGACTTGCTGCAGCTTGGAATAACTGCACCGCGGCACTCTATCAAATGTACATCCATTTATTAAAAAAAGATATAATTATTTACACTGTTTTGGTTGCACAAAACATTTGATCCGCATACTGATCTACCATCAGCAAAGAACAAAATGAGAACAATGTGCAAATTACAGCACTCTACAATATTTACATATATAAAATATTCTGGATGTTTTGTGTTAATACAAAATACGTAGTTTAACCGGTTGAGGTGTGGCAATCAGAGATGTTAATCACCCATGTATTTGTGCTAACAAATTGAAGCCAACCATATGCTTAGGCACAAAAACAAGATTGTGTGCAATGCTTAAAGCAAAATGTGAATTTATTTGTAAAATATGATCTCTTTTTCAAAACAAAACACACTGTAGTTTTAATTCTATCCACATTATCAGAAGCTGAAACCTGAAAATAGAGAGCAGAAAGATGCAAATTGAGGTACTGTGTCACAAAATATATCTTGAAGTTGCAAAGGAAAATATTTTTAATTATGTTATTCCTGAGCTCGTGATGAATTATCTTTTAAATATTCATCTTCTAAAACAAAAGTTAGCCACATAATCGTACAAATACTTTGCATTCTGTGATCTGAATCATTTAGACATCATGAGTTTTAACAATAAGTTGATGAGAATTCTAATATTTAAAAAATCTATATTGACACAATTAAAAAACATTACAAAGGACAGCAGCAAGTAGGAGGAGAATTGTAAAGAAAAAATTTTGCAGTAAAACATTCAAGTTTAAGGTCGATTATGAAAAGGCACGGCAGAAAACAGATAAATGAAATATGAGCCTCTTCAGAACTATTTGGGTGTTTTTATATTTTTTTTGTGTTGACCTGACAAATAGTGAAGAATGTTTTCCAATAAACTTGTTCAAAGAAGAAGTTAAACATGGGTACTAACCTTCAACTTGCATTTCAAGAGCATGTAACTCATTTCACACCTCCCTTCCACCAGAGTGGAAGGGAAAGAAAATCCACCATGATATTGTGCAAGATTGAAAATGGGAAATCTTTAAAGAAGTAAAAGAGGAGAAAATAATTTGGAATAAATCAACCTTAAAATGAATTCTTAAAATAGACCAATAGAGTGCTATTTTAAATATAACCTGTCACTGTAAAGATCACAGATTATATGATAACCTCTTAGTTACATAATCATTATCCCATTTTCAGCAAATAGTTCCAACTACATTTTTTTGATTTTTCTAGCTCTGTGTGACTAAATTAGTAGTGTAGAGGTAAGAAACATTGTCCGCCTGTAACTGGAATGTTTGATCTGCAAGTTGTTCTCCTTGCATTTGCTGTGAAGATTGGTTCACCGAGATTGTTTGAGTTGACGGTTCAGAAACATGTGCCGATCGAACGTGTTGCAGATGCTGAGCTGCTTCCTGGTTCAAATGAACTGGCTGAGTGGACCCCTGCTCAAGACTAATAGGTTGTGATCTCCCCTCTGCCATCTGCAGTTGTTGAGCTTGACCCTGAAGGTGCTCCATCGCCTCTTTTGTCAACGTGATCACATGCATATGCTCTGGCTGGCCTGGACATTGCTGGTTTTCCACCATGCTAATGGCTTGGATGTTGTCTGTTTGGCCAGGCTGAGCTACCAGAGTCAGATTCTGCATGTGCTCTCCTTGTTGAGTCAGCAGAGCCAAATTTGAAGCCTGGTCGTCAGGGAGACTCTGTGATCCCTCTGCTGAGATAATACTAATGCTCTGACCATGGTTGGGCATGAAATTAATATTGTGAACATCATTTGTCATCACCAGCTGTATCTGTTGTTCACCTACAGTAGGAAGCTGGTACTGCTGCAGTTGCAAGATAGTCTTCACTTCTTCTGTATCCCCATCACCTGGAACATTAATGATCTCACTGTTTTTCCTCTCCTTGCTGTGAATCTTCATATGAGACCTAAGGTTGTCAGCTCGAGTGAATCGCTGATGACAAGTTGGACATACAAATGGCTTGTTTCCTGTGTGCATGGCATCATGACGTCTTTTAGCACTTGGATCAGCAAAAGATTTTCCACAGATAGTGCAGATAAAGGGTTTTTCTCCCCTAGAACAAACACTGTACATTAATTTACTCATATAAAATTTAAGAAGCAATACTACTTTGTTTTTAGTAAGAATAATACTATATTGACACTAATTGGTAACAGGTCCATTGGCCTTTTTGATATGTGTGGATAATCTGGACCTGAATATAAAGGGAATAGTTTTAAATTTTTGCAGATGACACAAAATTTTGAGAAATAGTAACCAGTGATAACAAAATAGCAGCAAACTTCAAGAAGATACAGAATAACGAAACAGGCAGACACATGGCAAATGAAATTTAATGCAACCAAGTCATAGTCATAGTCATAGAGTCATACAACACGGAAACAGAACCTTTGGTCCAACTAGTCCATGCTGACCATAATCCCAATATAAACTAGTCCCAACTGCCTGCTTCTGGCCCATATCCCTCCAAACCATTCTTATTCATGTACTTAGCTAAATGTCTTTTAAATGTTGTAATTGTACCACATCCACCACTTCCTCAGGAAGTTCATTCCACATGCAAACCAGCCTCTGTGCAAAACACTTGCCCCTGTGTCTTTTTTAAATCTCTCTTCTCTCACCTCAAAAATGTTCCCCCTAGTCTTGAAATCCCTCAACCTAGGGAAAACACATCTACCATTACTACCATAAGCTCTATCTATACCCGTCATTATTTTACAAACTCTAAGGTCACCTCTCAACCTCCTAGGCTCCAGTGAAAGAAGTCCCAGCCTATACAGTCTTTCTCTACAACTCAAACCTTCCAACCTCTGCAACATCCTGGTAAATCTCTTTTGAATCCTCTCCATCTTAATAATATCCTTCCTATAACTGGGTGACCAGAACTGGACACAGTATTCCAGAACAGCCCTCACCAATGTCCTGTACAACCTCAACATGACTTCCCAACTCCTACACTCAAAGGACTGAGCAATGAAGGCAAGCGTGCCAAACACCTTTTTAACCACTCTGCCTATATGTGACACAAACTTCAAAGAATTACACACCTGAACTCTTAGGTCCCTCTGCTCTACTACACTACCCAAGGCCCTACCATTAACTGTTTAAACCCTACCCTTGTTTGTTATACCAAAATGCAATACCTCGCACTTATCCAAATTGAACTCCATCTGTCATTTTTCAATCATTGACCCATTTCATCAAGATCCCTTTGTAATCTTAGAGATTTGTCATCTGCAAACTTACTAACCATGCCTTTTATATTCTTATCCAAATCATTTATATAAATGAAAAACAAAAGAGGACCCAGAATCAACCCCTATGGAACACCACTGGTCACAGGCCTCCAGTCTGAAAAACCCCTCTACCATTACTCTCTGTCTCCTGCCATTAAGCCAATTATGTATCAAACTGGCAAGCTCACCCTGAATCTCATGTGACCTAACTTTATTCATTAGTCTACCATGCAGAACCTTGTTGAAGGCTTCATTAAAGTCCAAGTAAACACTCTGTAAGGAAGTATGAGAAGAAGCAATACAAATTACATTGCACGATCTTAAAGTGGGTGCAGCAACTGAACCTTAAGTGAAAATTCAAAACCAGAGGCCTGGAAAACAAAAGCAAGGGAGTTAAGCTAAATCAATAATTCATCAGTTACACCTCAGGTGGGGTATGTTATCCAATAATGGGTACCACACTTTATAAAAGATGTCAAGGTCTTACAGAAGATGCAAAAATATTTAGTGGAATGGTACCAAGAATGAAGGACTTCAGTTACATGGAGAGACTTGAGAAGTTGCGTGTGCTATCCTTGGGGTAGAGAGATTAAAAGGAGATCCAATAGAGTTGTTCAAAATTGTGAAAGATCTTGCTAAGTAAGAAAGGGTTTCTTGCAGAAGGGTCAGCAACGGAATATCACAGAGTTAAGACGACAAGTAAAAACTGAATTGAAGAGGTAAAGGAAAGCTTAAAGGATGAGAGATTTTGGGAGATAATTCCAGAGCTTAAGGCTTTGGCACATGACAACATGGCTGTCAATGGTCCATTGACTGAAATCAGAGATGGTCAATGGCCAGAATTAGAGGACTGCAGATGCTGAAGTGCAATAGGGCTGGAGGAGATAACTTTGATAGAGAGGAACAAAGAGTGAAGAGATTTAAAAATAAGGATGCATGAGCAGCAAGCGCTGCCTCATGCTCCCGCAAGGAGCTCAAACAGTTCATCAATTTCGCCAACACCGTCCAACGCACCCTCAAATTCACCTGGACCATTTCTGACACCTCCCTCCCCTTCCTGGACTCTCCGTCTCCATCCCCAGTAACTGACTCACCACCGATATCCATTTTAAACCCACTGACTCCAACAATTACCTCGACTACACCTCCTCTCACCCACCCTCCTGCAAAAATTCTATCCCATACTCATAATTCCTCCACCTCCACTGCATCTGCTCCCAGAAAGGGGCGTTCTACTCTAGATCTTCCCAGATATACTCCTACTGTACTTTAGGGACTGTAGTTTCCCCTTCTGTTATTAAGGATGCCCTCAACCGCATTTTCCCCATTTCCCATGCTTCTGCCCTCCAACCTTCTCCCCCCAACAACAATAAGGATAGTGTCCCCTTAGTCCTCATATACCCCATCAACCTCCGAGTACAACGCATCATCCTTTGACATTTCTGCCACTTACAATCAGACCACACACCAAAAAGATATTTTCTTCCCCACCCCGTCCGCTTTCTGCAGGGACTGTTCACTCCGTGACTCCCTCATCAGCACCACACACCCCACCAAGCCCTCCACCACACCTGGTACCTTTCCCTCCAACTGCACGTACACCTCCCCTCTCACCTCTGTCCAAGGCCCCAGGCAATCTTTCCAAATCTGGCAGAGATTCACCTGCACTTCATCTATTGTATCGGTTGCTCCTGATGTGGTCTTCCCTATACTGGGGAGACCAAACGCAGACTTGAGGACTAGTTTGTAAAGCAACAGTGCTCTGCACAGACCAACCAACCCAACTTTCCGGTTGCCATTCACTTTAACTCCCCATCCCACTCCCCTGATGACATGTCCATCCTTGGCCCCAGCTTGTGATAGGTGTTATATAAATGAAAAATTATTTATTTGGTATATAAACTTCCTCTTTCTTCAACAGAGTAGTAAAAGAAAGTTATGCTTAATTCACCACAGTTGTCTTTTGATATTCAAATCATGACAAACAACGCTAATACTGTGAGGCACAACAGAATATACCTGTGGATTCTGATGTGGGTCTGCAGGGTATTCTTTGCAGTAAAACATTTACCACAAATCTCACATGTAAATGGTTTCTCACCTGAAAAACCAAAAGACAAGTCAGCATTAATGTCATAGTTGGTTACCGTGACTCTATATAATTTTCTGACAGCTACTTCTCTGAAATATTAACCTAATTTTCATGTTGAAGGACATCCTGTTCATTTCAAGCAGCTACAGCTCATTTCAGGAATACCAACTCTAATCTTTACATAGATCATAGAATCCCTACAGTGTGGAAACAGGCCCAACAAGTTCACAGTGACCTTCAGAGAATCCCACCCAGACCCATCCCCCTATAACCAACCTAATCTACGCATCCCTGAACACTATGGGTAAGTTAGCATGGCCAATCCACTTACCCTGCACAGCTTCGGACTGTAGGAGGAAACCAGAGTGCCCGGAGGAAACCCACGCAGACACGGGGAGAATGTGCAAACTCCACACAGACAGTCACCCGAGGGTGGAATTGAACCCGGGTCCCTGGAGCTGTGAGGCAGCAGTGCTCACCACTGAGCCACTGTTCAACATTTTTAAATGAATTTTTTGTGCTCATCAAAACGGGAAATGCGTCAAGATAGATTAAATTGAGGCACTCAAGAAGCTATTAGATGGTTATTTAGATAAAAATAATGTGGAAGGGTTTGGTTGGGGGGGAGAAAACAGGATATTGGCACTAGGTAATAATGCCCATATAATGAGCCAGTGCAGGCACTATGGGCCTAGTGGCCTCTTTCTGCGCTATAATACTTCTGTGATTCTGTGAAAATTCTTGTGTTAATAGCAGAAAACAGCATTGCTCAAATGATACTGGCATCAAGCAGTTCTCTTTCAATAAAGGATAGCATTAATCTAAAAAAAGCCTTTGCTACAGTTACAATAAGGGCATAAGAACTGTCAAACAACCGATGGCTTAATTCTCTCACACATTTGGTGGTTTGTTATTCCTTACTTTGCTACACTCTAAAATGACTGTCTTTGCTCATACATTCATCCGTTTCCTTCCATATGTCCGTGACACCACCCACGCCCTCCACCTCCTCCAGAACTTCCAATTCCCCGGTCCCCAATACCTCATTTTTACCATGGACACAGTCCCTCTACACCTGCATTCCCCATGCAGATGGCCTTAAGGCCCTCCGCTTCTTCCTGTCCCGCAGGCCCGACCAGTCCCCCTCCACTGACACCCTCATCTGCTTAGCCGAACTCGTCCTCACCCTCAACAACTTCTCTTTCAATTCCTCCCACTTCCTACAGACAAAGGGGGTAGCCATGGGTACCCGCATGGGCCCAAGCTACGCCTGCCTCTTTGTAGGTTACGTGGAACAATCTCTCTTCCGCACCTACACCGGCCCTAAACCCCACCTCTTCCTCTGTTACATTGATGACTGTATTGGCGCCGCCTCGTGCTCCCACGAGGAGCTCGAACAGTTCATTCACTTCACTAACACCTTCCACCCCAACCTTAAGTTTACCTGGACCATCTCTAACACCTCTCTCCCCTTCCTGGACCTCTCTGTCTCCATATCGGGCAACCACCTAGAAACCGATATTCATTTCAAGCCCACCGACTCCCACAGCTACCTAGAATACTCCTCCTCCCACCCACCTTCCTGCAAAAATGCTATCCCCTATTCCCAATTCCTTCGCCTCCGCTGCATCTGCTCCCAGGATGAGGCATTCCACTCCCGTACATCTCCGTTGTCCTCGTTTTTCAAGGACCGTAACTTCCCTCCCTCAGTGGTCGAGAACGCGCTCAACCGTGTCTCCCACATCTCCCGCCACTCATCCCTCACACCCCGTCCACGCAATAAGAACCAAAAAAGAATTCCCCTCGTCCTCACGTACCACCCCACCAACCTCCGGATCCAACGCATCATCCTCCGACACTTCCACCATCTGCAATCCGACCCCTCCACCAAAGGCATCTTTCCCTCCCCACCCTCATCTGCTTTCCGGAGGGACCACTCTCTCCGTGACTCCCTTGTCCGCTCCACACTCCCCTCCAGCTCCACCACACCCGGCACTTTTCCCTGCAACCGCAGGAAGTGCTACACCTGCCCCCATACCTCCTCCCTCACCCCCATCCCAGGCCCCAAGAAGACTTTCCACATCAAGCAGATGTTCACCTGCACATCTGCCAATGTGGTATACTGCATCCGCTGTACCCGGTGTGGCTTCCTCTACATCGGGGAAACCAAGCGGAGGCTCGGGGACCGCTTTGCAGAACACCTACGCTCGGTTCGCAATAAACAACTGCACCTCCCAGTCGCGAACCATTTCAACTCCCCCTCCCATTCCTCAGACGACATGTCCATCC